AGCATGGATTAACTGACAGGGAAAGCAGTATCTTTTTATAAAAAAAACTTTTAAAAAAACTATGTGTTCTGTATTAGCCTGAGAAACCAAACATTTTTCCCCTGTTGAAATTTCTTAATACTTGCTGCTTAGATTACTTCATATTAATGATTGATCATTTATTAATTTTATAATTAATTATCGAGTCAAGTATGTAACTTGATGTTTATTTATTTATCTATTTATTTATTTATTTTATTTATTTATTTATTATTTATTTAGCCACTTTTCTTTTCTTTTCTTTAATGGTTATGGTAAGATAAAGATATGTATCAAAAAGAAACGCTTATTGGGGCTTTTCTCTCTTTCTCTCCTTTTTTTCCAATTTTACAATAAAAATTCAAACTGGATGTTTTGTCACAGTTATATTATATTGAATGAAGTGCTGACAGTGCAAAGGGAGGGGGGAGTTGTCGCACATGGATTTTCTCCCCTCGGCATCTCAAGGACCTTGAATGTTTGCGAGTGCAGATGTTGTGACGTCTTACAGCTCGCCACCTCGGAGTCTGGTACTGATGCCTCGTCCCTGTCAAATGATGAAACTGTGGTGATAGTGTCATCACCCTTTAAAGGATAACAGGGTTACTGCTGCAAATCCACAGCTTGAACTTCATATGAGGCCGTTGCTCGCACACTAGGTAGGATTCATCATAAAACACTGGAAGCTTAAGGAGAGTAAATGTACCTTTTTCTTGGTAGGATCATTTGGATTATCTGTCATTGTAGAAACTGGAGGCTTTACCAGCTAGCAGGTCACATGATGCTGCTCTGCTGCAGGGAGACACATTACAACTGAAATATTTCTCAAGACATATATAATGGGAACAGAATTCAAAAACAAAAGTGTGGCACATAAACACCAGACAGTTGGGAGGTATCATGGATTGTAGAAGAGCTGTAAGGGGAAGCCGGGAACAAATAACATTAACATTTTGACAAGCAGGAAGCAAATAAATTGAAATAAGGAAGTACCAATCAAGTTTACATCCACTATTGCTTTGATGGCAGAAGGCAAAAATCAGATGCAACATGTGTTGACAGTTAACTTCCCTCCCCACCTTGTAGTCATCATCTCCATACATCAGAAGTCACTGTAGCATCGGCAGCGTTACAGTTGACACAGACACTACATTCACATTTTGAAGAACAGCGACAGATATGAAAAAAAAAAAGAATGGGAGGGACAAAAAAGTAGAGCCACTGGCTCATGAAATAAATTGTCCCAATTACAATAAAGTGTGGCTCTTGGTCAGTGTGCACGGCAGGCAGTTCATCTTTATTACAATCAGTTAATGAAAATCAATCCCCCTCCTGATAAACTCTTATCTCCACGGCCTTTGCGTGCCCCTCGTGCGGGGAGATAATAAATTAGGGTAATATTGCCTTTGATGAGGGAGTGAATTGCAAATTATTGTAACTTTCTAAGATTTATGATGCAGATGCTTAATTTCCGAGCTGGGTTTTTCGGGGCGTCAGGGTGCCAGGGGGCCATTTGTTAAAAGTTTGGTGACACAGGCTCGTTAATAAAAATACACACTCAAGACAACCAGGTGTTCTCAGCTGTTGTCTACTGTTACAGTAGCAGAGAAAACACTGCTGAAATGGCAGGAACTCCTGGCTTGTAGGATTTGCAGGCCACATTTTCCTTTGACGTGCCATTTACCTATAACAGAGAATACATGTGAAGAGGCAGATACCCGGGAGGATGTAACGTGTTTACTAAAGTAGGACTGCCAATCATACAGTGTTATCCCCCCCCCCCAAGAATCTCTATCACACAAGCCAGGAGCGTGTGATTTGATATGTAGGTCAATACCCATTCTGGAGTGAGCCAGTGGGTGAGATATGTCTAGTTGCTTGCTGTCACTCTGATTATTGAGGAGACACAGAAAGATTGAGTTGGTCAGGTATGAGAGAGCCTGCGGTATGAGATAGCTGTATAATCGCTGCGACTAGTGCATTCTGAAAACCACACACACACACACACACACACACAACACTGAGACATTAGTAACTTCTAGCTCTTTGTTCTGCAGCAGTGACCCATGTAACAGGGTGTTAATGTATGTGTATGTTGAATGTCTTCTACCCGGCGCCACAATCAGACTCTGAGTGCATCATTAAGCAAAATGCTTCACCGAGAGAAGGTTAGGTGGGGGTCGAGTCATCAGGAACTGCAGGAATGATGCAAGGTGATCTTTTAAGAAGCCACTTGTGAAACTGAAGGCAAACACCATCTCACAAGAGCAGCTGAATGAGTTTACAACTATGGATGACCAACATCACATGCATCATTTGGCATCAGTAAATCCAGTCAACAAGTAAAATGCAACACTTTTTTACCCAAGAGATACTGTTGTGCATGTTGGAATCATGATCTGTTAACATTATCACGTATCTCTAAGTTAGGTGTGGCACCTTAAATATCAATATCACAGTCATTTGAAGCCGCATAATGGTCTGAACACTTGATCATATTGTGATAGAAAAGTATCTCCTCATCAAGGCCACTTCATTTAAGTCTAAGGAACATCTTGCATTAAGACAGCCATCAATCTATCCATTATCAATCAAGGAGAGGACTCACACACCACTATCTATTTATCTTGCCAAGTGCTCTATTAATATCAAATTAATTTCCCCATTGAGAGTATCAATCACTCAAGCAGTTTTTTTCTCAACTCATTAGCTTGGTAATTGTCCTTGTTTACGAGGGAAAGTCAAGACAGGATGGCTCAAAGAGGGGTGGACGAGCAATCCATATAAGCTCGAGCAGTTTCCTGCAAACCTGTGCTACATCCTGCCTGCTAATAAACACGGACGGGACTCCTTCAGTCTGTCAAGTGTTGACTTTGGAAGATTTGACATTTTCTTCATTTCCAATTTTTAAAAAGTAGAAAGTTTTCAATGTCAATCTACCTTTTTTTTTTTTGAAGGAGCTTCCAAATTTTAGATGTTCAGAGGTTGTCAAGAAACTCACTGTCTTTGAACAGACTGAGAGGGCGCTCGCTCTCACATGGGTTGGTTATATAAGGCTGATGCTGCCTGGCAGTGCTGTCAGATGGCTGCATCTCAACAGATGACATCGATCAAGACGAGGCCTGAAGCTTTTTTAGCTTTGTTCAAATTATGAAGCAAATGCAAGGACACACCAACCCAGCTTAGACGTCATCAGCTCAGTTTACAACTCAACGTTAAAAAGTCATGTATTCGGATTAAAGATGATGAATGATGAGCCCAGTGGTGGAGGAAGTATTCAAATCATTCACTTAAGTAAAAGTATTAATACATCAATAATAGAAATACTCTTATATGGCAAGTCAAAGTCCTGTATTCAAATTCCTACTAAAGCACAAAAGTAGTTCCAGCAAAATGCACTTTAAGTATCAAAAGTAAAAGTACTTATTCTGCAGTAAAATGTCCCCTGTGATATATGTATTATATATGACATTATTAGATTGCCAATACTGATGCAACAATGTGAAAGCAGTATTTACTGTTGCAGCTGCTTGAGGGGGAGCTAGTTTTAACCATTTTATATACTGTTGTTTAATCCAGTGGTTCCCAACATATAGGTCGGGCCCTCCAAAGGCTTATGAGATGATTAATGGGACAAAAGAGAAAAAATAAAGTTCTGCTTCACAAAGTGGCTCTGATATTTGCTTTTTTAGCGGTGGATATTGGATAATTTTACCCCTTTTGGGTCTTGGACATGACCGGGTCCCAAACTAGATTTCTTTTAAAGGTGTCTGTATGTATGGGAGCCACTGATTACATTTAAAAAAAAATATTTTGCATTTTCATAAGCTTATAAATTGTTGTTTTGTTTTTTGTAAAATCATAATCTGAAAAATGTAATTACATTCGACAGACACATTTTGTGGAGTGAATACTACGATATTTGCCCCTGAAATGCAGTGGAGTAAAAGTATAAGTACAATTTGAGTACTTGAGTACTGTTACAGTTACTTTCCACCACTGAGAGCCTCACCGTGACAAGAGTGTGACAGTTTTTACCAACAAATCCACAATCACCTCCCTCCCTCTCTTCATCCCTCTCCATATCTCTACTGTGCTAATATTAAGAATGAAGACTTGATTCAGACCAGGAATGTGCTTCACATAGAATGGGTGAAAATCACAGACTGTATAATTAAAAAGGTGAAAATGGTGACACATTTCATTGGCCAGTTCCTTCCCAACCGCACAGCTCACTGTGGTGTCTTTATTTGAAGAAATGGGACATGAAGAGATTAAGTATGATTGCATGTGTGACGAAACATGCTGTCACTCACTAATGTAAGGACTAAGATACTTTTAACTTAATTCAAGATATAAATTAAATGTACTAATTATAGAGCATTAATTCTTAATATCTTCACAGAGAGTGTGTAGGAGCTTTCTTAATTGCATTTTTGATGGTGACAAAACCTGATCGCATCCCTCTTTCTAATCACAGCACTCATTGTTCACATATAGTGCAAATATCAGCAGCATGCGTGTGTTGACTCTAACCTGGTGTTAACCACAGACTAAATCCTATTTGGAGCCATGCAGCGCTCTGGCAGACAAAAGCAAAGCCAGCAGCCAGCTCAGCACTCAGAGGTAACATTTACACAGGGGACTGGGAACATACTGCGGATCCCTACGGCTACACAGCCAGTTTGTCAAAACTGTCTTTTTATACTACGAGCTGTCAGGCCTTATGGACTGAGGACCCCACCAGGAAAGACATGGTATTACAAAGCATACAGTTAAGAAATGTAAAACACTGAAAACAATGTTTCCATATTTATGCTGCAGCAAGGTTTATAACCCTTGTTTGAGGGGCAATGGAAGCTGATATAGAACCTCTTTACACAATTATTTACAATGATATGATGTGATGGAAAGAAAGTCTATATCATCTATCCAAGAAACTAGGTACAAGAGTGACAAAAAAGGAAAAACAGACCTCGGTCTGGAGTGTCAACACTTTAATACAGAAAGTTACATATACAGCACAACACATATTAGTTTACTTTTCTTACAATGTCTCAAAATAACCTACTAAACACAACAAATGTAAAACATATTACAGTTAAAACATCTATACACAGGCAAATGTACACAATATAAAACACATATATACACTCTTTTAATATATTATTATATAAAGATTTGTGTTCTTTAACCTTTAAAACTGGAAGCCAAACAGCTTGAAGAGGGAGTGTTTCACAGAAGATGAGAACTGAGAGAACTGTTGAGTATCACACTGACATATGTATTATGGATAGGTAGTTTTTACATACAGTTGTTGGATCCTGTGTATTTCGCATGCCAATTTCTGAAACAACAGTTGAAGCAGACAAAGAAATAACATTTAAATACACAAAACTTGCTGTTAAAACCATTAAGTGCTATTGATATTATTGGATTATACAGGATCTAGAAGCCACATTGCTCTGCACAGAAACAGCTTACATACAGTATGGAGTTACATATGCAGCTTCATACATGGTGGAGTGTTTGGAGGTTGTGCATTTCTCAGTAAAAATGAAATATTTACAAAAAAAAAACAAATTTCTTATTAGTTGCCTTGACGTCAGCAAACACAATTGTGAGTTTAACCTTTTTCAAGACTGTTGTAAACCAATTTATATTGAGTATGTGAAAATGGTGAACATGTTGTACTTGACCTCAAACCATATGGTTTCATGTATTTATGTTTTTCTTGAAAGAATGTGACCCATATATGGATCCCCAAAAAATGTAAAGTAGGAAGAAATGGTAGTGAAATCCTTCAAATGACAAAAACAGAAAAAGATCACAACATTCACAAATTCCCCTCCCCCCCAAAAAATACAAATACATATGTCGGAGCTCTAGTCACTCTTTCCTCAAGCTGGTAATGCTTCCACGTTCTGTTTGTCTCCGAGTTCCTCTTTTTTTAAAATCATCATCATCATTTATATTTATTTTTCACAAAAGCAGCAGAATGAGGAGTAGGAGTGAGAGCAGGGGGCTGTTGGCTGCCGCTGCAGCCGACGTGTGTGACACCCCTCGGTTGGAAAGACGAGGAGTCCTCGGGGAATTCTGCTTTAGTTTACTGGGTGGCAGTGCCTTTAAATCCTCCAGAGCGCCGTAGGCTGCCATAGAGAACTCTGGGTCCCCTGTGGTCAGCAAGTCAAACACACAGGACTGAAAGTACACATCCTCCACCTGCAGAGTCTCTCTACACTTGGCTGTGGCCCGCTCCACTGTGTAGACCTGGTGAGGAGGCCGCAGGGGACCCAGCTCTGTGTTGGTGCCCTGTAGGCGGGGCTGCTGGCTCTGGCGGCCCAGCGTGTGCTCTTTGATGAGCTCGTTACGTGGGCAGCCGTGAAGGCAGAGTTGCAGGCCGCCATTGTCCTCCGAAAAGTCCAGGGTGTCCTCTGGCATGCGGATGGCAAAGGTCAGGTAGCTGCCCACACGTCGGACAATGATGGAGGTACCGATGTAACGGGCCTGTATTTTCACCTGCCGACCTACACCAGAGCCGCCGCGCTCTACGATGGTCAGGCTGCCGCTCTCACCGCCACTGCGAGTCCCATCCTGAAAGGCCAACGGCAGATCTTCTGTGGTGGCCTGGTACACCTTCTGTTCTGTACAGCCGTGGTAGGACTTGAAGATCACAGTGATCTGAAATAAGGGAAAACATAGGATCAGTATTAAGTAACAGTTTAACAGTATTTTACAATACTCATTTTGATTTTATGTTACAGTTTGAATATTCTACCTTAAATAAAGCCACTGGTAAATTGAGCTACAAGGCCACATCTTTTCTCAAATGCAATGCAAAGCACCAAGATGCTCAAATGAATCATGAATAAGAGCAGTACCAATTAAAGCCACAAGGTGGCAGCAGGAAACTGCTGTGGAAGGTGTTCATGGCCCACATTGGCTTTTTTACAAAGTGGCAGTGATTTTCTCTCATATGCCAATTCATAACTACTGCAAAATGTTCAGAGGATCACTGTCAATGATCCACTGGATTGTTGTCACTCAAATAAACCCCAAATAAAATCATTGTGTGGTCTCCACTATCATTTTCTTGCATAAAACAAATTACTAGCACTAAAGAGCAATAACTCCACTAGTCTTCCCTGAATTGTGGCTCAAACAGCACGGTTCCATAACAGCCTCAAATCTCCATGCATCTTCCCTCTCCTGTGCTGGCACTGCTAGTGCTTACTCACTGACTGACTGTGATTTGTATTCCAGCTGAGCTTTGAAAAATTGGGGCCTAACCTCTGTTTCTTCAAAGTATCTTGACAAAGCGGTGGCTGTTGTTAAGTTTACACTTACGGGGATACTGTATTTGATGGATGATTTCCTGTCTTAAGTCTGGCAGTTGAAAACAACTCTGAAAGCATGATGGGGGCATGCGGGTGCTGGCACAGGCATACCCACACTACAAGGTTTGCATTAGGCTGCACAACCAGAACAAACTGCATACGCCTTTGGAAGAATTTGTTCTGAAATCCTTGGTGCAAAATCAGCCCGTCTAATTAACTGAATCAAAAACCCTCGTTGCTGTCCAATTATTCCTTTATTTTTCCACATTATTCCATATTTACACAAAAAGCAGCCAGTTAATTATTTGACCAGAGGGGTGAAAAAACATTCCAGATCGTGGCGGTGGAGGAAAATGTTTGAGTGAGCGTTAATCACTACCATATGACCACCCATGTGTTAAAGGTAGAGCACTCAAGCATGTCTGTGATTCAACACCGCTGAAGGACTCCCCTCCTCTCTCTTTTCCCTCATAGATCTGAAGGAGCTCCAAGACAAGAGGAATGCTGGAGGCTCGAGAGGCACCATGGAATGACGATTAACTTCACATGTTTGATACTTTATGGCAATACTTGAGCTAGCAAGCCCGCACTCAAAAACAGCCTGCCCATATAGGCCACTAGTTTCAAACTTACTATAATGTGTTCATTTCGAATTCCAACATAGGTGGTTGTCGAGAGAAAAGAACTGCCCCCACGAGGGGTTGCAAAATAAATCTGTAGAGTCTTAAATAATGGATGTTTTTCTTGTGAAATCTTGAATAGATTTACCTGTTCAGGCCTCTATAAAAAAAAAGAAAATCCCAAACGTAAAAGCGGGCCTGACTGTTTGCAAGTAAACTCTTTTTTTATGGGCTCACATGCCACAAAAGTTGGGAACCACTGCTTTAAACTCGGATGCTTTTCACTGTTGATTTATCTATTTATTAATTAACTCCTTACCTTGCTGGTTGCCGTGGCGCTGGAGCCTAGGACAACAGGCACATTGGTCACCTGCACCGACAGGAAACGGTTGTCGATCAGAGGCCACGCCCCTTCCACCTTGCAGGTCTGAAACTCGTCTCGGAAAGTCCGTAGGTGCGGGTCTCCGAATAATCCACAGTGGGCGTATTTCTTCTGCTGACTGGCTGAGCCCGACATGAGGACCCGGTTCTCGTAGTCACACAGCTCGGACATGGCCGGACGAGATGTACTGGGGACCTTGGCGGAGGAGGTGGGCCCATCGCTGGAGCAGTTATGCTGAGAGAATAACTCCTTAATGCGGAAGACGGCCGAGTGGTAGACCAGGTCGCCCCTGCAGCTGCGCGCCTGCCGCCTGGTGCACAGGGCATAGGCCCGTAAGGCGATGCAGTAGTCCACATCCAGAGCCACATCCTCCTGCAGACCACTAGAGGGTGAAGTAGAAGCCACATACTCTGCATTGCAGCGCTGGATCCGACACTGCTGGCAGTGAGCTGGAATACAAAAACAATGGCCGTCAACGTTTTGTACTGTCATATCATTAATGTGCCACTATTCATTTAAAAAGGTGTAGGCTTCTCTACTCATGTTCAGTAACCATCAATTATGCTGACTACATCTACCAATTTGAACAAAAAATTGTTTATTCCTATGAATCTTAAAATCCACGTGACATTTATGGATACATTACCTCAGTGCTGTGCACGAGGCAGCGGAGTCAAAACTTTTCCACTATCAAGTTTAGCTAAATCAGGAGAGCCATTAAAACCCAAATGCGTGAGCTCATGAGGCCATGATCCCACACTGTGCTCCAGAGTCGGTCAAAACTTATTTCCCCCAACTAGCCCTCACAGAAATAGCATGCAGCCTCACTATAGGAGGAAACCAACCTGTGTTAGTTTGCCTGAGGGTGCTGAATGTGGTTTGGCTGATGCTGAGGTAATTGAAGTCCATTAAGCTACACTGCATGGCACGGCGGGGCTCGGTGTATGGGGGCAGCTAACTTGAAGAGGATCACAAGAGGAATATCACAGAGTCACACTTGTTCAGCAACTCAGGGTCTAAACTGGAAGCTAGAGAGGGGGTGGGTGCAGCCAAGCACGGCATGTGATATTTGGGTCGCATTGCCGAAATTCAGGGCTTCCCTCGAAGCCAAGACTCACACGTTGGATATGCATTATCAAGGAAAACAAAGAACTGCAACTATGTGTGGATATTCCTCAACTTCATTTCAGTGCGGTGCTACTAATGTCACGTATGCTCCACTGTTGCATCGTGGATATATCTCCCATGTCAAATCAGCGTCGAACAAACATCCACAACACATCCCTTTTACTGCTAAACCGGGATCAGTTGCATCAGAGTGCTCCTCTATTGCGACAGAATAATCGTCTGTTTACTCCAAAGCTCCAGCTAATCTCCCAACAGCATGGATGAAGACAACACGATAAGCATGGAGATTCCACACCAGTGCACCTGAATATCTCTGCACCATTTCTTCCCTTTCATATACGTTTGATACACGGAAGGGGGCATGACAGATGATTAATGCATCTCGCAGTCGCTGCACTTCAACACAAGCCCTGATAAAACTGAGACGAAGTGTCAGGGGTCAAGTTAGAGCCACTCTGCATCCCTCCGCTGAATTCCAACAAGCTTCCCCCGTCTCACTGAGAGGTCACCCAAGTCTGCTGTGATTGGCAATTTCTGACAATCACAGTCTGCGCAGCCATCAACAACTATGCATCTCCCTAAAGGGTTTTTATGCTCTGGCACTTAAGTAGGCTACCAACAAGTGTGAGGACCATGTGGGGAATACGGGAACAGAAAAGGAACAGGCAAAATGACCACACAAACAATACAGATTAGTAGATTTTAGTCAGAAATACTGTTTTCTAAGGGCTTTACGTTGCAGAAAGAGTTAAACACTCAATATTTTCACCAACATAGCTACTATGTGAATTAACACAAAAAAGGCTGAAAACACTTTCAGATGGGCATAAATGTTTTATAGTATAAACTATTTTTTAAAACAAATATGGTGGCTTTATATAAGTTATAGTGATGACACACTGAAACTGTGTAATTTAAATACTCAAGCTTTTTAAAAAACACAAATGTTTTGGACACAGCAGAAGACATGCATATTTTAATTAAGTACTACATATAAGATATAACCTACATTACTCTACCAAACGTCTGAATTCATTTATGAAACTATTCATGCATATTTCAACCAAAACACTACTCCGAAAAGCTAAAGGTGCTACATTCAGTTGCAGCAAAGTACCAAAACAATAAATAGGAACCTGAGGGGCCTCCAGGGGCCTTTAGATATGGTGCTGGGCAATAATTCAAACTTTCTGATGTGTTTATCATCTATACATAATTTATGAGGATTTAATTGTTATATTATATGATTGATACCACGGAATGCGGTTTTTATGTCTAAATAAATAACATTAAGTTAAATTCGGTCACTTCTTGCATGCCTGACAACTTTTAAGTGTGATTTTGAGCATTGTAGTAAACACACCAATACTAAACAAATCCATATTAAAGCACAACTGATAATTATAATTATCATATATTAATAATTATCATACCGCCATGAGACTTTTAAACTTTGTGCGTCAACTTTGACATAAACACGAAATTAGGAAATGGCCACTTCATATGAAATAAATAATCTTTATATTCCGAACAACAACAACAACAACAACAACAAAAAAAAAAAAGTTTGACACGGTTTCTAGCTGGAGGACAGAGGCGCGACCAACACGCTCAGAGGCCAAAAAGTTGGACCCCCATGCATGGTAGCTAACAAAGTTAATAAATGAAGCATGAATAGGGATAAATACCAGGGTCCACTTAGCTCCGCCAACAATTAAAAGCAGTCCAAACTATGTGTTAAAGTTACACTCATGACTCGAACAGTAATGGGGGCCGTTTGGTGTCCGATTAGCGGCATTTTCTGGTGAAGAAAACAAGCTCGGTGGTTTTCTTCTGGTCTGACTGCGGCTGCTGGACGCCAGTTTGCTAGTGAGCTATGCTAACTGGGAGCTAAGCCGTAACTCCCAACACAACTTGATAAAACCTCAACAGCGGCGGTGCTTGTGGGTTGTAAAACACGGTAAAGGTTAAGCAGGCGTTGGCAACGTGTTTGGTGTCGTTGTTTTGTGCCAGGGTTGTTGGGAATTTGTTTAAAACAGACGTCCGTAAAGTGAGTTAACTCGTGCTGCTCTGCTAGCAGCGATACCAGTGTTGCAGCGCAGGCTGGAGGCTGGGAGACTCACCAGCAACAGGACATTACTTTGTCCCCTTAGTGGACGGGATACTTTTAAACAACAGCCACTTTTCTCCGTCTTTAAACACACAAACCCACTAAAAAACTTCAGTAATAGTGTGTGAGAAACGTTCAAAGTACGTTAAGAGTTTGAGTTCAGACACACAACGCCAGGGGGGAGGAAAAAAGTTAACTTTTTCCATCTCCACCTCCATTCCGCGGGACACCGCTACGCATGCAGGAGAAGAGTGGAGGAGCACGGATTGAAAAAGCACCACTTACCTGGTCGAAACAGCAGCGAAAGTAAAACCATCGTCAACGTTACACAGTCCCAAAGCTGCCGCTTAGCCGTGTTTTGTGGTCCGCTTCTCCCCATACCAATCCATTCAGTTAGAATGGAGTTCCTCGACTGCTTCTCATCGACGCTGTGGCTGCGGGAAATCAGACAAAAATTCGTCTTCCTTCCCAAGCGCTGTCATTCAAAAGGGGCCCCTGTCTTCAGGGCGGCTCTACGAGGGAGGGGTCTAAATTGTAGACGGGGCCCAGAGGTGATTGCTGACCAATGAAACACTAATTATTCACTAACCACTTGATATTTACATGTAGTGGCAATTACTGGGATGAGGGCAGTGGAAAAGTGGCTTCAACAACAGAGGGGCAGTGTGAAATTATAATTGCCCTGATTATAAGTGAAGAATCACAGGGTGTGTTGTGGTTATAATAGTGTTAAAACTGCCTATTATCTGTACATATACAATAAATCTCTGCTAAAGGGTGGAGATTGGGCCCATAATGCAAGTCTCCTGCAGAACTGCAACAAGACTAGTAGAAACTTAAACCCTTTGCACTACAAAGCACTGATGGGGGGGGGGCAACTGTTCTGTCTGACTCCCCCTCCTCTTGGGAACAAATGTTTGTGTGTTTTCAGCATTAAGCAGGAATCTCCCACCTGTTGTTTTCTCACTCCAGACTTAAATAATAAAGTTTGATTGACAATCGTGTGTGCAAACTAACAGATTATATATTTTTTTAGTTTATTTAGTGAATATTTCAAATTAATAGCCTGATAAATACATAAGAGGTGCATTATTTTGAATATATAACTGGCTGAGGCTACGGAGAAAGATAGTAGTAACCTATAATGTGGGGTTTTCTCTATTTAATGTCATTAGATATTATACTTGAGGTAAAATGCATTCTTCAGTCACTTTGTTTGGTCAAAACGTGGTGTTTTACCTGCCACAAAACATGGCCATTGTCTGTCTTTGTCACACGAAAATACTATGACTCAATTATTTTCTCTCAGCAAATCTCAGTGTGCTATTAATCTTTCCATTACATTTTCAGTCAGCAACTTGTATGTTGCTCTTTTCCTTTTGTGGCCAACTTTCCATCTCTCTCACTCCTTCAACGACACTCCGTCTTTCATTTGCACAGCTGCTGTGAGGCCGGACCATCTGCAAGCCACATAGACTCTCCAGCTTTCAGCCTGAGACACACGCTGTGGTTTTTTGTGCCATGCAAATAAAGAATTTCAATGCACCAACCAATTCTATTACTGAATAAAATATTGGTATTAAGAAAATCAACAGTAAAAAGTTTGCGTAATTTCTAGAATTAGATGAAAAGTTAAAGCTTTTGTTTTGGTGCAGCTGGAACATTTGGCTTGTAGCTGTGGGTCTCCCTCTGCGCCTCCCTCCTGACTTTATGAGAGAGAACTGAACCCAGACAGTTATTGGATCACTGGTTTTTCTATACACATGCAGGCTCCTCCGGCCACACAATTGTGTGATTCAGGTGGCCTGTCAGTCTTGTGAAAGGTCTTCACAGGCCCATGTTGATGTGGGGCTGATATATATAGTGGAGGGGGGAAACGAAGACAGCTCAACCCAAGTGGAACGTTTGGATTGTTCTGAGCTGCCAGAAGGGCCTCTGTCACACTGGATCCAGTGTGCCAAGTTTATCCCCCCAGAGGGCTCTACCTTACTCTGTTTGTTCAGCTAATTTTGGAGGCTTGGTCGGTTGATCTGCTTTATAGCTGTGCTTTATGGTCGCATTTTAAATCCCTTCCAACAGGTTACACTTCGTATTCCCTGTGACAACTCAACACGGGGCAGTGACGCAGTGCAGGAGGGAGATCTGTTGATGGTGCGGATATGCTATGCAACAAATTAAAAACAAATTTCTTGCAAGACGTATCTCACCTGTTACAGTGTTTGTGTTCCGGGGCAAGTGATGACATTTCCTGCAGGAGAAAACACATAGTTTACTGTATTGTTAGCGGTAAATGAGTTTTAGTGATAGATGTAGAAATAAGCATGCCTGACGTGTGTTACATAAAAATAAACAACAATAAAATCAAAGCCATGGTTTCTCTCAATAAGCTGTTGTCTGCTAAATGAGCTGAGGTTCCACACTGCGGGACTGATGACCACTGAAGCAAACAGTTAATTGATCCAGGTGGACGGTAAGGATGAATTCAGCACATGAAAGAAACTCCAAGACCGCCTGTCAGGCTTGATGGGCGGAGAAAGACCTCTTTCTTCCCACGTTTCCTTATGAGCGTATTGCATTGCATGACCCAGCAATATGTATATGCTACCAGCTCTAAAACAAGTCGGAGAGAGTGGGTGCACTACAATGGTGTATATCAGGTAAAAACAAGGCTGGTATATTTTTCCTGCTCACAGTGGGTCACTTGTTCTGGTAATAATAGAAAAAAAAAGTCTAAAGAGGTAGTTTCTATGGACAGCAGAAAGAAAACGAACATGTTTTGAGTTTTGGACAAACATATCTGACAGATACACACATGAGAACGGACTGCCTAAAAGCAGAGCTACATTCTAAAAACTTCAGACTTTAGGAAATGTAGAGAGTGAAGCGAAAAGAGAGTGAGCAAGAAAGAATGGGAGAAAGGGGGGAAGGGAGAAGGAAAGGGGGAGAAAAAGAGGGAGTAAGGGATTGGGTTTCCTCTGACTGTGTGTCTGGGCAGCTCCACATGTTCCTCATTAAGGTCCTCACACTGTGGGACCAGCTCCACACCGGGATGCTTGTTTTTGTTATTAGGCCCATCGTGCTGTGGTCTGGTGGAAGCCCGAAAACAGGGCCCGTACAGGACCATCTCCACAGCTTGCTGTCCTCAAACCAAGGAAAAAATAACTGCACTGACCTCACATATCTGCACAGGGTCAACATACAGTACTCTTTGAAAACCTGCCGCATTTATAGCTGCATACATGAAATTGTAATATTCATAGTAATATTCATAATTTATGTGATAAATTATGCTGTGCTGCATTTTTTAACTTATAAAGACAAAGCTGCTCCACTACCCTGAACCATCTTTTTTATTTGCCTATTAAGACAGGCTTTAAACCTTAAACTATTTACTTTTTCCGGAAATGCAATGTTTACAAAATAATAAAAAGTACAGTTGCAGGAAATTGTTGATGTGTCATGCTTCTGATTTTTGTTTAATTTCATGCCCATCTAGATTAGTCAACTGAGACATGTATCGTGTTTCTTCTAGAGGCTGATAACATCAGAGATTGGAATCAGAAGGAGCACGCGCCCTCTGTAGCCTCCGCTAGCACCACACGGTTGCAATATAAGAGACTTACTTATTGAATTTTAAACAGGAACCAGAGCAAATTGACTGTTTTTTTTTCTTCTTCTGAGGGCCCCCGTCTGAAATGAAGTGGCCTATAGCACAGCTGAGACACAGAGTGAGAGAGAGAGAGAGAGAGATGGAGAGAGATGCAGAAAGCGAGTGTGTCTGGTTCAGGCCTCTCGCTGTCAGAGGGGATCTGTTATCTCAGCAGAGATAAGGGAAACTGTGGTGTGAGCGTATACGGGGCAGCGCTGATAGCATCTCCACTCAAGGATCCCACTTACGGCACCCTGATTGATAGCTGACAGCACACACAGGGGGGGCTTTTGGAGTGTTTTTGTAGGCACCCCTCAATAGGTACCCATGCAGGCATCTGTTTACTGTGTTCCTTTGGATCTTTGTCTCTGAGTAAACAGGAATTATCACACATGCATGTCATGTGTGTAAAAAGTCAGGGCCCTGCACTACCTCAAACCTGACCATATGAGTGTGGAAAGAAAGGAAGGGTGGATTTTTATTCACTCATTTCATTCTAAAAGAAAATATTTCTTTCTCTCTGACTCAAACGTTTCTGTTTGTTGCTTCGCTCTTCACCACACTAAACCAAACTCCTTCCCTCATCTTCCTCCCTCGTTCCTCACAGAACAAATGTTGACACAGCGTCAAGCCCCGTGCTCATGAATAGACAGTCAACTGACAGGTAACCCTAGCTTCAGGGTCGAGGGGTCACCCCGGCCTGATGAGGGATGATGGGTAAAATAAATGGAGAGCAGCACACACAGGGACCTCTGATGTCCTCAGCCTAAAGGGAGAGAGTTCAGGGCCATTTGACCTCTGACCCAAACCCTGCCTATATGTTTGTGTGTGTGTGTGTGTGTTTTGAGGGTTAAACCTCTCCCCAATCTTGAATACTCGAATATTTTTATGCTTTTGTTTTTCCTTGGCCAAGTTTTTTTTTTCAAACAAATAAATCAAGTAGCAAAAACACTTCAATGTATGGCTTCAGTGAGCAGCCTGTGAAGCCGTTTCCAATGCATAACTTTGTTTGAACATGCCTCGTCTTTCCCTTTTCATGACAACACTCCCCCGCTTCTAGTCATCCGAGCCATGATGCATTATGGAAACAGGAAACAAATTGCTTCGTAATGACCTATGTCAACTCTCTTCACTCCCAGAAACTGAAATGTTAGTTATATCTCTAGAAAGGATTAATACTCAATGATTTCATCTCATCTCTAATCTCAATAGTTGTTTTAAATGTTTATTTTATTATATGAGAAAAGAACATTTAGGTTCAATTGTCCTTCAGAAGACTTGCTAGCCAGAAAAAGACCTATGACCATCCCATGCTAACACCAAGACGATCCTATTAGTTTCTTTTTACATATTTTTTCCTTTTATCTTTTACTTTTTACAGATGCTTCTGCGGAATACAGCTCAAGCAGGTGGTTAATATTTCAGGGAATATTTACACTCTTGATTTCAGTAGACTTGAACAGCACTTTGACATGCAGTCAAACATGGAATTCATGTTTAAAATCCATCCTCAAATCTTCAGCCCAGTGTGTGGTGTCTTAAAGCTGGTTTAGCTTTTTCTGCCATGTGCTCTCAACCTCTTGCCCTTTACACCTGACGGCTCGAGGCTTAATCTGCCCATGCATTTGTGGTAAAGCTTGTCCTTCAGTTAGTCTGCAACAGTTGGTATTGTTTCTGCCTTAGCCCACCCAGACAATGACCCTGAACCAGGAATAGATGGATAGACAATAACTCATGAGTGTATACATTTAGCCATTATGATCTACCAAATTTTTAGCCAAGAAGGCATTCAGAGAATGCTCCCTCTTCTTTGAGTTGGTTTAAGGCAGTGAAACACATGGCAAGGGTGTACACATCTTCTAATCAAGTATGATTGACTCACTGCTATGTACTCTGAGCACAGATTGAGCACAGATCTGTTAGGTGGAGAAAAGTCTACATGAAGTGTTGGGAAATTGATATGGCTGTTTTTCCCCCCTTTGCTTTTCAGCAGATGTTTCTCGCATTCACATTTACGTAAAAGAAAAAGACAGTCCTTATATGGGTTTATGGGATCATGCATGTTACACTCTATAGATGTTGCATTTAAAACAACCCATCACCTGCTATGTTTATGTTGAGCGGCTATATTTGACACTCCAGTATGTTAGTGAATTATCAGATTATCTGTTAGATCTCAAGACGGTTGTATTCAGTGGCAAAATAACATTCAAAGCCAGTCCAACGGTGTTTCTAATAACATTATTTTACCTTTGTGAAATGATTAGCATCTTCAGGCATGTATGAATCTGAGGATGTTATTACTAATGCCAGAGAGGATAAAGAAAATAAACTTACCTTGGATCAGTGTGTTGTGGTATATGCTGTATTGTGAATTGGAACACTGCTCTAACTGGAGTTTGAATGGGCAGACGCCGTTAACCCTCGTTCCCCCTACAACTTCAGCTGGCCAACTAAGAACTTGGGCAGCTACAGGGACAGATAGCCATTGGAATCAAGGCACATGACAACAGCTGTCTGTTTCAAGAATCGGCACTTTGATTAGAGTAGGATGGTAGTGAGCGATGTGGCCTAATTCCCACATATCTGGGTAGGGCACTTCTGTGAAGAGAGGGGAAAAAAGCATTGAATGGAAAAAAGATTGAAGCACAATCACATGCATGCATATTCAGAAACACTTGCAAACACACCCACACTTATAATACACGTATGCTGCTTAGATTCATAGATATTCATAGGTTAGAAAACCATGTGTCACACTTGGAAAGCTTCCCATATTCTCTACAGTCCATCAAACACACAGACAGAAGGATATGAGTGCAGCCGACCATTGGCCCCAGTGTAAGCTGAGCATGTGTGCAACGTGAATGAGACCTCTGTCTGTTATTAGGGTTGATCCTCATCCACTACACTACTCCAGCCACACCGCGACAGTATCTGTCTCTCCCACAATACTTTATGTATTTTGGCTTTATTTTTGTTGTTCAAACACCCGAGACGCCGCTGTTTATGCTTGGTAACAATAACCAAAACACTATGGGCCCACAGCTTTACCTACATCCAAGTCTTTCATGTGGCGTCACTGTTAAAGCACGATATGAGCAGAATTCACAAACAAGAGGGATCATGCCCCGTAATGTGTGTTTGGTTATCAGTTGGCTGCTGCAAACGGGCCGAGGAGATGTGAATGTGATTAACCTTGCCAGACTGACTCAGCGTGCTCGCTCCGGGATATAAGCATGCGTTCCCGGTGATTTATAGATGTGGAGTAGTCAGCCACAAGGCCTCAGGCTGAGGGAGAGAGAGAGAGAGAGAGAGCAAAACAACAGTACTTAATTCAAGTCTGACAAATATTCAGCAGGAAATCCATACAGACTGCTCCATCAAATCTTTCAGACCCCCTGGTTCTTCCACAGTTGTAAATTGCAACTTGTAAACTCAAAAATTCCACATTAACAAAGCTGAAAGAAGAAAAAAATCATTGTCTGTTTTAGTTTACTTTTTGCAGTAATACACCATACTGTTTCTGTCTTGCCCAGACAGCATAGAAAATGCATCTTTGCAAGCTCCCTGGGAAATGCGCTTTGGAGCAGATGTGAATTTCCAATAAAAGTGATTCTTAATCCGGCATGCATTTTTCAAAGTTGTGAAATTGCAAAATACCTCATAGGCTGCATATGATTCATCCCGCATTGTTCTTTCCTCCCTCCCAGAGTTTGTTCTGTCCAATCTTTTTAGGCAAGCAGCTGTTCACGCAGACAGCTGCATCGGCCATTCATTGGAGCCGAGAGGCAATTAAAAAAATCAAGCCAATGTTGTGTTTCAGTTGATCCATTTCTATTTCTACATATAATCCCCTCTCTCATGGCTCCCCTCTCTTTTACGTACACACGCACTCACATCAGTTCTCTCACACACACACACATGCTCATGAACTGCCCCATCAGGAGTGTCAAAGACCAATGATTGTGGGATGGTATGAAGATTCACTTTTTTTTCTAAAGACAAAAGCCCCAAATTGCAGTGACATGGCACCATTGGATTTGAGGCATTATTGAGGCCAGAGCTGAGAGGAGCCATGTAATCTCCAAGACTTACTGGTCCACAGATTTTTTCCATATCTTCTTCAGTGGAGGTATGCGGCCACACAAAGTCTGACTGGCGTCACAGTGGCATTCAGCAGAGAGTTAAATCGAGCTGAGGCCGTGCCTTGTGCCACAAGCAGTGACGCATTCTTATAGGGCTGTGCGCACGTAAACACACACATTCATTCATACAAGAGCTTGCATGCCCAGTTGTGCTCTCTTCCAAACACACACACTCACACACTCACACACCAACAAACACACATACACACTGTCCATGCCTCCAGTTGTTCCGTCCTCTCACAGCACACAGCAGGTGTGAGGCAGAGTGTGATAGAGCTGGGCTGGGTGGGGGTGGCTGGATGATCTGCAGTCTTAAGAACAGCTTTTCTATTGTTCCTAACATGTGTGTGCTCTTTTGGAATTGATTTGGAAAATGTTATGGTATCAAGCCATTGGCAATGCACTTTGGCTACCAACCGACTTTTTTTTTCTGAAAAACACAATAAAATCAGCTATTCTGTATGTTACAGATTCATATTATGATGGTTGTGATTTATTATTTTAACTTTTGGAGTATTTTTTGACAGTAATAAACATAGTAATTCCTTTGCTCACACAATGCCATACTCATCACCCACCATGATGCCAAACGTTCATCTGCAGTCACGAAGAAAAAGCAATGACCATGGGTGTAAGGACAAGCTCTTTCAGTAGGAGATTCAACAAATCCAATGCATCCTTAAGCTGCCATTGTGTACTGTACGTGAATCAGAAGCAGAGGATGGGGTGATGAGAGGACACTCACTCACTGACTTGGAGTCAAGCTGAGATGCAGAAGAACAGCTTCCCATGTTGGAAAAATACAGAAGCAAGCTAGCTTACTTACTTACTAGAAATCTTATATTGGGGATTAGCCAAGTTATTGTTCAAATGCTCGAATTAAAACTAATCCATTGCAAAGAAAGAAGATGTGTATGATATACTTTATATAATCTCCCCATACCAACCAAGCTTTACTGAAGAGAAGTATTATATTTTTCACAACTTTAAGTGAAATGTGCCAAGAAGATGATCCATCCAACGTTCAAAATTTATTTCGGTTTGCATGAGAACTATCAGACTTTTAGCTGGAATAGCAAAAACCCCTCTTTTTATATCAACATCATAAACCAAGGATGATCTGGGAAAGTACCCTTCCATCAGTAATATATGGTATATTCAAGGTAGGAACAACTAACCGCCTTATTTTGTCTGCAAAATCAAATGGTATTTTAATATAAAGTTTTTCTCTTCTGCAGGTTTATCCTTTGCTCTTGCTGTCTCTCTGTGCATTATTCCTGGTAGATGTCATCACTTTGTCAGTGCAGAGCATAATTGTCCCTAACCAAAGAGATGATCCACATGATTTATTTGTAACGGCTAGTGCACAGACAGACCATTATATGCATTGAATGGCAGGCTTTAACCAGCTGTGGACTCTGTGGACTGTTTCCACACACATTGAATATTTGAAAAAAACATGCGTCCTATATTCTGGGAAGACGGGAAGTATGGATCATATGGGATGGTGATTTCTGACTTCCTCTGGAGAGTCTTGTGTAATGATTGCTGGGGATAAAGGGGCCATCATCTTTCCTGCTTCCCCCCCCCCCCCCCCCCCGCCCGGCACCCAATGTAACTCCTGCCTTACCAGCATTTGTGCACAGGATCCAGAACCGTCCGTTGGTATACTTTTTCTTTCTATTTCTGACAGACCAGGATTGTTGAGTGGAGAGCTGCCAATCCAGTGATAACAAGGTAAAACGTTTCTTAATAATTAGAAAATGTAACAGGTAGGAAATCCTCTGTAACTACCAATGGAGCAATGTAGATATGTGGGGTGCAAAATATCAAAAAATACAAACCATTAGTTCTGCCTTTCTCGCTGATTCCTTCTCCTCCTCCTTTCTCGCCCCCAGACAGAAATTACAGAGATGCCAGGTCCGGCTAAAGAGCGCTTCGTGATTGCTGGGCATAATGTGATGTGGAAGCGCAGGGCAGAAGGCCAGGCCGGCACAGAAGCCTGGACTGATCATCCTCAGCCTCCCTCCACTTGGAACGGGGACAGGAGGGAGAAGGAGGAAAGAAACGCACAAATACAGATGAGCAAACCAAAACCAGGGGAAGTTCAGCAAAACTGAAAAGCAGAGTGTGGTGATAGCAGTAGATTGGGACGGATAGGGACGGACGGAGGGAACAGAAGAACCTTAGCCGAACGGATTTCTCGCCTCTCCTCTCCTCCTCCTCCTTCACTCCAGAAGACCTTGGTTAAGTTTTAACACAATGGAGGTGGCACCAGAAGCAGGGATGAAAAAAAAAGATCAGGAAAAAACAAAAAAAGTTGATTTGGAGGTGACATCATGGTTATTAAGGTGGGTGGGGTCTAAAATAAAGGGCTTGGTTTGGCCTGGTCGTAAGAAGAGGCAGAACTGGAGGCAGGAAGGCAACATCTTGAGACGAGCTGAGGCTCAAGTCTGCAGCTGTGCAGCTCCGTTTCTCTCTTCCCAGTACACAAGGCGAGTTAGACAAATAAGCTGCACCGCTACAATTACCCATGACCTTCTCTCTCTCACGAATCCAAATGCCAGATAGATTTATTTGGAA